GCTGATCGAGGACAAGGACCCTACAGCGGATCCCGACGAAGGAATTGATGGCGGCGGCGGTACGCCGTCGTCGCTGCTCACCGCAGGCGTGTGGTTGGATGCTGAGCGAACGGACTGAAGGGAGCTGTTTACTCGGTCAAGGACGGAGTTGTGGGCGCTCTGAATGGACGTCATCTGTCGGCTGAACTCTGTGCGGAGGAGGTCGGCGGTCTCGGTGATTACCGAGTTGCGGACGTTCGCAATGGTGTCTGTGACCCGTAGCTCCAGAGCAGGGATGGCGCTCCGGTCGTCCTGGATCTGCTGGGCTAGATAGTCGACCCTTCGGGTGAGCGCGCCAAGCTGCTCGCGGAGCGGTTGCGCGGCAGCTTTCTTTACGGAGGGAATGGGAGTGCGCGACGTGGCGGGCTGTTTGCCTTTGGCGGAGGAGGATTGCTCAGGACTGTCTGTCGTCGTCTCCTCAGTTCGCTTGCGTTTGGAGGGCGAGAGGTGCATGGCGGAAGTTTGACGAGTCATCCTCCGCGCTGTGGAGGGAGGTGGCGTGGCGGGGGGGGCAGGGTGATTGACATCGTCGTCCTCATCAAGCAGCACGGGGTTGTCCTGGGACTGTGGCATGCCGTTCTCGCAGTCCTCTGTTGTAAGAGACATGCAGTGGTGAGCGAATGTGCACGGTAGGGCAATATCACAAACAGACCAATGGTGAGGGACTCCGTGAGCTGAGAGCTTGACGCATGCGGAGGCTCGTCATTACGTTCCTCAGCCATGAGTAGTTCTCTCAGGGAGAGTGGTGGTGTATCAGACATCAGGGACTGCTCAGGAGGGGCAGTTGAGACGAAACGGAGGCGAGGGTAGGCGGGGAACGGAGGGCGAGTGTACAGCTATGGACGTTGTGTCTTATATGAGTCGGGAGGAAAGGTGGCGAGCGTTACCACGACAGGGTGCACACTGTCACGGATGACGGGTGAAGAGAGACGTTCTGGGGAGGAACACATATCACGTCCGGGTTCTGTGAAGGCATGTACGTCCGCAGCGAGGAGAGGCGTTGCTGGGAATGCGAGAAGGGCCATAGGTCATCGGTGTTGTATTCTGTGAAGAGAGCAGATACTGTAATTGGGCATGAGTTGCACTGAATAGGAAGGCAGAACGTGGCCATCGTGGAACGGACGATGTGTCGCCGAATGGGCAAAGGGCACGATTTCTATCTTCACGGAGGGGACATTTAGGTCTAGTGATGTCGACGTGCGCGTTCGTCACAGCAGTCGTGGCAGTCCGCTGAGCGCGACGGAAGATCTGAGAGCGGGGACGGATCGATCGTTGGGGAGCGGAAGGCAATTAAGGGCTGGCCGGGGCCGCGCATCGAAGCGTCTACTGCTGGCGAGTGATCGGGAGGTTGAGATTCAGAACACGGAACGGGGTAGGACGCTCCGATGTCCTCCGTGCATGTCAGAGTGGTTCCGGAAACGCCCGCGGGTCACAGGGGCGGTTGAGGGCGAGTGAGATGGCTGAGGAGAGTAGCCTGAGGCTCTCAGCGGAAGGAGGAGGGGGTAGATAGAGGGAAATACCGAACAAACATGCTCGGCGTCGAAGAGGTGGCACAGTGAATGTGTGGTACGACGTGCCGGAGTGGGGGTCAGACTGACGTTGAAAGAGGCAGGGCTTACGGGGTGTTTAACAGCACACGATGGCCACGTAGATATGAGAACACAGCTTGGATGTGTACACTGCACGAGGACGAAGGCGAGGGTGACGCACACTTCGCTGGCGCGGTGCTCGTAGACATACGAAGCTCCCGGCGTACCAGCTAGTGCGGTGCAGAGGGGAAGGGGACGAAGGCGTGGGGAAGGGAGAGTGAGCTGGTGGGACTTGGAGGGCGCAGGTCTGCACCTCCGAGTTCAGCGCGACCGATGTAGAGCGGACAATACGTCGTACACGAGGCATGAAAGGGCGAGTGCATTGAGATTGTGTATAAACGGAAGGGGTTCGAGTGGGCTGCATCGCTGTCGTTGCGGATAGGGCGCTCGGGGACGACCATGCACTGTCATCCGACATGTCCATCGTCAATCCACCCTCTAGCCGGCACAAAACCTCTCGATTGAGTGCATACAGCTGACCTAGGGTCGGTGTACGGGGTGTTTATCACCACACAACGGCCACGTAGGGTAGAAGCAGCAGGTGAGGGAAGTCAGAGGCTTAGATGGAAGCAATCCACGTGTGGCATAGGCGGCCATGGGTGGGGATGCCAGTGGTCGACTTGGACGGGATTGAGGCGCCTGGCAGGGACCGTGACGTCTCTAGCGTGCACTGCACACTGCAAAATGAGCTCTCCGTCGGGGAGTCGAACCCCGCTTTCCCGGCAACTTCGTACAACAGAAAGTGATCAGGGAGCGTCGTTCTGGGCAAAAGGCTGCTTGGTCAATTGCAAGTGAGTTTGCAGTGCTGCACACTCGGGGATTGTCTCATAACAACCGACTTCCAATTGACTCGTCATCACCACCAACATCATACACATAGGCAACAAGTATTCGAGGGTCCTCTCCGAAGCAACCAGCAACTAATCATCGTGCCGGTTTACTGTACTACCCACTTCAAGTCATCCGGCGTCTTCACTCGCACTCAACCGAGCCATCCTCGGAGTCGTCGCCACCAGTTGCAGACGACGACGATGCGGGAGGAGCTGCAGAGCTGCCCGAGGGTGCAGCGCCGGTCGAGCCGCCCGCCTTCGGCTGCTGCGTGATGTCGACAAGTTGCTGGCCATCAGGGATCGGACCGCTCGGGTTGGCGGGGCACGAGCCCGGGGGACTGACGGGGGACGTGAGTCCGAACGGGATGGTGCCAGGGCTGCCGACCTTCACGCCGCCGACGAAGGTGTCCTGCGACGAGCCTTGGAACTGGCACTGGAACAGACCCTGCAGCTCAGCGTTCTTCGGCGCTTTCTGGCAGTACTGGACAGCCTGCGACGTCGGCTGATGTACGAGATCAGTATGGTGTTAGGTGCGGGCAGATTATGTCAAGGAAGAAATCTACGCACGCTGTTGCGCGGCTGCTGCGCGAAGATCTGCGCCAGCCTGATCATGTCCGGGTCGTTGTTGAGCTGCTTCGCGAGATCGATCATTGCGTCAGCAGAGTCCTGTTGAGCGCACGGGTCGGCCGCAGCGAGGAGGGTACCGAACGCGGTGACAGCAATGGGATTGCATTGCTGGCCTCCCCCAGCCTTGTTCTGTACAGTGACAATATCAGAAGGTATTTTCCCGACTACTAGAGCGATATAACGTACGCAAGCATCCTCCCAAGGAGTAGCTGCTGCGACGGTGTCCTGAGCGATGCGCTTCTTCATCGCACCCCGCTTGCGAGTCTTGGGTGTGCAAGTGGCCGTGCTCGCGGCTGCAGCAGAAGACGACGCAGCGCTGGGCGCGGCAGAGGAGGCGGCAGCCACCGAAGATGCAGGGGCTGCAGCAGAGGCGGAGGATGCGGGAGGAGCAGCGGAACCCGATCCGCCCTTGACGTTAGCAAGACCCGGATCCTGAGTGATGTCGACCAGCTGCTGGCCGTCGGGAATGGGGCCAGTGGGGTTCGCAGGGCAAGAGCCTGGAGGGGACAGAGGGGTAGTCTGCCCGAACGGGATGGTGCCAGGGCTGCCAACCTTGACACCGCCGACGAAGGTATCCTGCTTGGCACCTTGGAACTGGCACTGGAAGAGGCCGTTTAACTCCGCGTTCTTCGGCGCCTGCTGGCAGTACTGCACAGACTCGCTCGTGGGCTATCATGCACAGGTAGATGTTCAGAATCGCATCCAATGATAATCAAACGCATGATGTATACCGTGTTCCGAGGCTGTTGGGCGAAAATCTGTGCGAACTTGATCATGTCGGGATCGTTGTTCAGCTGCTTGGCAAGGTCGACCATAGCGTCGGCCGAGTTCTGCTGGTCACAAGGCCCGGCGGCCGCGAGGAGCGTCGAGAATGCTGTGACAGAGATGTCGCTACATTTCTCCCCACCGCCAGCCTTGTTCTGTAGAGGGAGCGGTCAGCAACTTCCTGTGCAACTCCTGCAAATACAACGTACGCATGCAGCAACCCACTGAGTGGTGGAGTCAGCGATGGTCTGCGCGATCCGCTTCTCAAACGGCACAGCGTTGACGGCGATCGCGGTGAGTGCCAGCACCAGGGAATGGGTGAACTTGACCATGTTGGCAGGGTATAGGAGAGGATGTGAGAAGATGCCTAAGGAAGAGAAGTTGAAGTGAAATGAAACGAGTCTGAGCACAGCTCAAAGGAAAGAAAGGTTGAAAGAGGAGACGAAGGGAGAATGCAGACGATCGCCCCGCAGGCGAGGCTTTTATACCATAGTTCAAGGGACGGCCTCTACCATGTGAGCCGGCATGATACCTCAGTGATCATCATGTAGCCCATGGAGACGTTGGTGTTGGCGTGCGGGCAAATTTTCCCGTACGCACGCGGTTGGGTGGATACAAGATTCTGTGGTCCCCAAAACCGTATGGGACGAGCTGATGGAGGCAGGGCAACCTGCGTTTAGCTCTACAGTAAACGGTCAGCCCTCGTTGCGACCCAAACATATGAATCATGTGAACGCCCACCAACCAGGTAGATGCACAGCTGTGGCGATGTTCGTTGCTCAGCGGTCTTTCACTATGCATCACAGCACAGTGCGACCGCCCGGTTGCCTTTCAGGAGGAGCCTCCGAGGAGAGGGCCTGGCATAATAGTATACATCGATGATTGTCAACAAGCTGCGTCGCCACACTTCTCAAATCTAGTAGACAGAGAGCCTCATTCGGACTGAAAGGCAACAGTGAGTCGATGTCGTTGAGACAGCGCTAGGGCAGCACACTGTTTTGTTTCATCAGTACCAGATCCTCATGTTGCGATGGTTGGTGCACCGGCCCCAGGCGGCAGAGGCGCGAGGTGGAGCTGTGGTGATCCACTGATGGTTGTGCTGTTGTGGAAGTAGACTCGACTGGAACATATATAAAGCATGCAGCAACATGGCGAGATGGCCGAGCGGTCTAAGGCGCCAGACTAAGGCTTTCAAGAGTTTGATATCTGGTCCGAAAGGGCGTGGGTTCGAATCCCACTCTCGTCAGTTGTTTTTGCCATCCGAGTGACTTCAAGTTTGCAGCCGTCGAGTAGTCCCTGGAACACTAGGATGCATTCGCCTTTAACCTGGGGAGACAAACTGTCTTCGGGCTCGCCGATGGCTAAAACACATAAGGGACACCTGAATCTGGGTTAATCGGACGTGTATTCCTGTAAGTACGTAGCTCATGCCCAAGTCGTTTCGCGGGGCTCGTTCCATCGAGGTGATTCTGTGTTATATAACCAGATATACGGATCGAACGTGAGTCGCGTAGTTGTGATATAGTGAGCCCAAGCCCAAACCGTAGACACATGGCCAACAAAAAAAGGAAGGGCCCAACCGGGAATTGAACCCGGGACCTCGCGCACGCTCGGTCAACCCGAAGCGCGAATCATACGACTAGACCATTGGGCCGATGTTCAGTGAGGTCAAATTTGTAATCAATATCATTGACCGACCCCATCTTGGGTCGCACTTTGATCGAAAGCGCTTCTTAGTGTACTTGGCCAGAACCTGATCTAGAGACTCAACCAGACTAGCCATCTTACAGTCAGCTCGAACGTAGCAAACCCGTCGTTCAACATGGTACGCAAGTCTCTGCGTGGAGTGAGGTAGATTATCAGTGATTGATTGCTGTATGGACAGTATGGCGACATAGAAGACCTCGTCCTTTCCGGCAAGCTATTCAATCCGCCGTCCCGCTCCAGTTCGCCTGTCCGTTCTAGGTCTCCTTCACCCACACGAGCACCATGGATCAACGAAGATGAAGACTTTGAGTACGACTCAGATGCGGAGCGCCGTGCCGAGATAGAGGCACACATTGCGTCCCAGCAGCAACAAGAATCGATTGGAATGGGGCCCGGTCGGACGGGCGTGAAAGGCGTCATCCGAGACCGTGCAGAAGCAGAGTCCCTTGCGCGTGCTAAACGAGCCGACGAGATCAGAGAACTCAACAAGGCGATGGAGAAGGCCAGCCTTGGGGGAAAGACATGGGCTGAAGAGGAGAAGGAACGGTTAGCGGAGCTCGCGAGGGCGGAGGGTGGCTCCAGGATACCCAAGTCCCGAGGTGGACGCTTCGGTCACCTACGCGAAGTGGGCGTGCGCAGTTTTGTGCAGGCCGTGGAAGAGGACCCCGATGTGTGGGTAGTGGTGCACATCTATGATCCTGTGCGTACTATTTCAACGAATGGACCCAAACTCGTGCTCATGCTGCTTCCAACAGTCATTAGATCGGTGCGCTTCTGTGGACGAGACACTCTCTCGATTAGCGCGCAGTTACCCTTCTACCAAATTCCTCCGGGCACGAGCCGGTGCTATTGGGTTTGCCTCATCACCGGGATCACGACCCAATCTTGGGAACGTTTCGTCTTTCGGCCTATCTCGACTGTCTGCTCATCGGCAGGGTTCATCTATCCGTCGCGGTGTGCAAGAGAAGGATGAATTCTTTGACGACGACCATGATGAAGGCGATGAGGATGAGGACGAGGTCGAGGTCGATGATGGCCAGTGGGAAGACGACGAGGTGGATACAGACGTTCTGCCAACCCTGCTCGTCTATCGTGGCGGAGAACTCGTACACTCGTGGGTTCGCGTTGATTGGGAAGCGAAGCAAGGGCTCGAGGAATTTCTCAAGAGGCGAGTATGATGGTTGCTGCGCGTTTGAAAAGCTTTTGAAATAATGGGAATTTTGCAGGCACGGTGTCCTTACTTCTCCGCGGCATTACGGCGGTGTGTCGGCGCGATTGGACGGTGATTCGGATGATGACTTTGACGATGGCGAACTGGTCTTTGGAAACAGCGACGACGAGAGATGAACCATCGTTGTGCCGTTGGTGGTTTATGTTGACTAGATAGCTCATCATTCTGCAGTTTCGTAGTCAAGGAGTGCCTCATATGAATCCTATCTCCCTGGTCGCCGGACCATCCTGCTAACATCGAGCATCGCTGGCATTGTTCCTCAATGTCGCGTCTCCGACATGCCCAGACCTGGTCTCAGGCCGGTTGATCGATATGCCTACGGCTGGACAGAGATCGTATTGTAAACTGACTACGCTAACGATACAAGATGGGAGACATGCAAATACTAGTCCGACTACTCGAGTAGAGCAGGGTGTGCATGTATAACGGTCCGAGAATATAGAGTAACATAGTGAGGTTCTAGTGTGAGGATCGCCGCCGAATCATCCCATGCGAATTTGGTGTTCGAGCTCGGCGACGAAGATATCTCCATGTACATGTCGCAGTCCCACGAGCAAAAGGGACTGGAACCCGTACGGCGATCCGGGCTTGACGGCATATTTGTTGTCTGCAGAGGAGGGTAGGCGTGCGGCTTTCTGTATCTGGGGTGAGCGTCTGTCTACGTAACGTTACGAACGCGTGCGCGTTATGGCTTACATCGAACAGTTTCTGAAGCGCATTCGCAACGAGGACGGCAACTTGGCCATTGCACTTCACGTCCTTCAAGGAGATCCTCTCAGCGAGGTTGGCACGTTCATAGCCAGGCCACTGCGAGACGGGGCGTCAGAGAAGCGCTGTTTACTTCGAATGGAAACGGGTGCTTACAGGGAAGTTGAGCTGCATTTCAGGGAGCCCACAGGCCAAGAACGACTGCTCCGCGAGAGCTGGGACGCGACGCACGAGGTGCTGTACTGGCCGGGTCGAGAGTTCGACCAAGCTGAGCTTGCCGAGAGGCACGAATCCGACCAGAGCACGAGGAAAGTTCATTATAGTGTTCTTGGAGAGGTCGACAGAGCCTTGCGGTACGGGACCCATGATAAGCTGAATGAACAAGAGAGACTGGGGGATGTTCAGTATGCTCGAGAGGCTCGAGGAGGGAGGAGGATGCGCTTGCTGAGGATTGCAGCCATCGTTGAGCAGCATAAATACCAGTCGGCATCTTCAGACAGACAAAGCGGTCGGGGACGAGGAGGGTAAGAGAAAGCGAAGAAAGCATAGGCCCGAACCCTGGAGCATCGACAAGCGGCGACATTGCACAGACAGCGACAAGTCAAAGCAATAGCACCAGGGTAGGCCATGCTGCGCAAGCGTGTAATGCTCTACGTTCCGGAATTGTGACTGCAGTCCAAGAGAGTACTAGCGCTTCATCATAGCCACTCAACGAGGAGTCCCTGCCAAAGCGAGTGGTCAAAGAGTTAGCGCTGGTCACCCAGGAAGGCAAGTTAGTTTAAGAGGCTCAAGAGGCTGTAACACTTAGCTTGGTCAGAGTGGTGGCACGCTTGAGCTCGCATTTGCTGAGGGGTGACGCGGGCAGCATTGGTACAAAGCAGCCGGTAACTTGAAGCCTTGCCGCGCTTTGAGGCGAGTTCAATGCACGCAGTGAGTATCCCGGTGCTGCTATGCCTCTGTGATCGTAGAGGCCGCCTATCTATGTTCAGTTTCATGAGAGTAACAATCTGGTCGAAAGCGCCTTTTGCCACCAGAGATGAGAATAGGTAGCCACCCGGACGATCCGGTCAACAAGTTGGTGACCGCCAGAGAAAGCAATACCGAACCTCTCGCCACGAAGTTGCCACAAAGTGATTACAACGTCCGAGTCAAGAGCTTTCCATGCCACAGCGTTCGCAGTGCAGTCATCAAAGAGAGAGTCTGTCAGGTCTACGATCCAGGCAAGATGAGTGCAAGAGCTTCGAGAGTCACTGGCACTGTAGCCAGCCACCAGTGCGCGCGGGGCGCTTGTTTCAGTGCAAACATCCGCATTAGGCAAGCGTTGTAAATCACACAGCTCGTCAATAGCCCGTAAGTGCTGTCCTGTGTGTACATACACGCTCACCTTGAAGCTCCTATAACCACCATGGAGGGGTTTCTTATTGCTGAGTTGTACATGAGGTAACAGAAGAGAGAGAGCCAGGGCACATCCGACCACCTCAGTCACGACATTTGATCAACGTCAAACCCACAGATGCAACCACTGCCTACGCACCTTGGAATGCACGCCTTCCAATGGTTGACTCGAGGCATGCGAGAGACGGAGGAAGGCTTCACTTGGAGTGCCGACCACATGATACTGGTGCTCTCTGTGTGGAAGCGTAAGATGCTCCCTCTCCCCGATGAACTTCCGAGGACTGCGTTGATTACCTCAGATGTAGCCCATCGGAGGCGAAACTGGCGCAACTAGTACTGGTAACGATTTCACTACACTAGGGATGTTGAGACGTGTGAGGCCAGACAACCAGAGAACCAAGCAGTCGCATATCCACATACTAAGCCGAAGACTCTGCTATAGCGCCGGTGTTCAGTCGGGCCTCGGGCTCACGGCGCATGACTTCTGAGGAGACGTGCAGTCGTACCTCACTTCGGAGGCAGGAATCTGTTGAATAAGATGTAAGGTGTACATGCAACATCAGCTCCGGGCCCAGATTTAGACATTCCCTTGCCGCATTGAAACGGAAAACAGGCGAGGACAGCTTCTGTACGGGATCCCGCGTGACATGTATAATGAAGAAGGGCGTACAGGAACGGGAGTGGTCCTCTGGATAGGCATCGGGCCTGACATTTTGACTACTTCTTCGGGCCAAGCCCTCGCTTAAGGTTGAGAGTCTACTGGGTTAGAAGCGCCCAGACGGATTGATGCTTCTTGACGCAGTCACATCCAGGACCGGCCGTCGTACGCGTGCTTCACTATGCTTCTGCGAGATGGTTCCTGCTGCAGACCTCGGTCTTTCAGGTGAATTACTTGTTCAATCGCCGCGAGGTACCTAACTTCAATCACCAGACGAACACGCACCTTGGCTCAACCGTCTGGCCCCTTGTCGAAGCACTTCGACTGTACAGGCAGCGGTGATAGTGGCATGAAAGTGGGCCGCGAGCAAGATGGACCGTCTGGTCCTCTATTGTAGTGCGTCGAAAGGAGTGGGTCTGACACCGTAAATGGCATACGTCTAGGGCGAATGCGGCACCACATAGTTACACGTGTTGATGGCGGTGAAATTTGCCAATGGTTTGCAGAGGACCGCTACCCGCTCAGCTTGATTTGGTAACCGAACCAT